GAGGCCCGCATCATCAACGAGTACATTGTGGGCCACAAAAAGCATCATCTTGGCAATATCTTCGTGTTTTGAACCGTCATTGAATGATGTGTTCATAATCGTTTCAAAGTGGCCTAATCTGCGCCAGCGCGGAAAGGCAGCCATTCTGGGAATTGTAAGCATACGAGAATCAGCATAAGGATGAAACATACTGCGAGTCTATTTTCACAATGGCCGCTCGGCCCAACTCCGTAACTCGGGCCTTAATTTGAGCAAAAAGATGATCACCCCAAAAGCCGCCGTCATCTGCATGCAGTGGATCATAAGAGATCGCAGCGTGGGGATCCGAGCCTCTGATCTTCCAGAGCGCATTCTGAAGTAACTATTTAGCCAGTCCTCGACTCAGCGGAGAGATTGAAATACCTCAACATCACGCAAACCGTTGTCTTTAAGAATTTCCTCACGTCCAGCTGCGGTCTTCTGAGCTCTAGCTTTCTCAAGGATCTCTTCGGATCCTTTTGCTGTGCGCCGTGGATGCTCCACGGAAAGGTCACTCTGTTCCTGCCAAGGAACGAAGCAGATCGGGCATGGATAAAGTCCCTGTAAACCCCGAATGAGGGCCATCACGCATCTGTCAGATACATCATCAGCAAAAGAGCGACCGAATTAATTAATGGTTTACGCTTCCTCGTAGTCGGCAGCTAGGATCAAAATTGTGGGCCAAAGCCAGCGGAGGATTTCATCTCCACAGTTGGTCCATTCACCGACCTTGGCGATATGTGCAAGGGATTCTAACAACTTGTAAAATGCCGTATGCCATACAATATTTTTGAAATTGCTGAAAGCCGGCTTGCCATTCTCTTGGGGATCGTCTTTTACCTGTATATCAAGCACTTGTCAGAAGACAAAAAGATGCCGTAGATTTTGAGCATACAATAGGTTGATGACCGACTACCTGACCACCGCCAAACCGAATACCATTGCGAATCACGGCCGGAATATTGGCCAATCTGGCAACAACTGCATAGGCCTTTTGAGTACCGAACGATGAAAGTTTTGACTTGTCGGCATAAACCACAAGGCAGACAGGCTTCGCTGCGGGATCATTCGGTAAGGCTGACTATAAGCAAGGTTTGAAGGCACATTTCGAGTACAAATAAATGACCATTGACTTACTTGCGCAGCCCAAAATGCATCTGCAGTCCAGGGCTCATGGTAGAAGCGGATATAAGAGTCACCATTATATTTGTATGCCTTTTCAGCATCCCAAACAAAACACGAAGCAAGACGCGGATCCTGGATAAGACTGCGTGCCCAGTCCCAAATCGGCCGAGTGTATGTATCGAAGATTTTATCTTCGTTTTTGTACTGGATCGTGATGGTACCTTTCTCAAACTGAAGGCATTTAAGATCACTGAGGAGGCGAACTCGAAAAGACGTACTGGAGTGCATTTATGCGAGGCCAGTTCCCATAATTGGTCGAGGTCACGTTGACCTGCCAAAGTAAAGTCGTCCGGGTTGAACATACAGCGCCGGATGAGAGAGATCAATGTCTCAGTAGAATCCTTGTTCAACATATTGACCTCGCAGAATTCCGCCACCTCAAAATCCAGTTGAGATCGGAATGGTCGCCATGGTTGCTTGTCAGTGGGTATCGGCTGTTCGGCAATATTTGAGGCCACATATTCATCAAAAGATTGAAACATAGGTTGCTGTTTACTGTGAGGATGAAATACGCGTTTTATTTCCTCTGGCCGGGGAGCGACCGGGTTTCCGGCTGGCTGTTCAGTGATATCGGCAGGTGGATCCTCTCCTTCATCTTGATCTTCTGGTGGATTGTAGTCGAGATAATCTACATATGATGGTTGAATATTCAATACCACGCAAGGCAAGATATAACATACCAGGAATATTATGATTTTGAACCGGCACGGAATTTGACGTGACTGAACTTTGGTTTCGCTGACTTGGACCCGCTGTATGCACATGAAGAAAGTAGGTTCGGAGGGGCTCATGGATTTTACCTTCTGAATGAGCATCCAAACCTTGATACAATGTCATTTTACCGAGTTTTGTGCCGGGGTCAATTAATTCAAACTTACGTTGTTGGGCGTTGAGTTGTCCAGCAAAATTTGCATCCTGTTCTTGCCTGGCTTTTCTGGAAGCACATGCTTTCTCATCGTTTTTCAGACCTTTCGTTTTCCAGCCAGTGCCACAGACGCTACAAGCCTTCGTCCCTGATGCAAGTTTTGGAGCCGGAGCCATCAGAGTGGAAGTATTGACGAGGTTAAGAGGGGAGACAGCTTGGCTGGGAGAGATTTTACGAAGTTTACACTCAGAGTGTGAGCAAGCTCGAGGCTCAAACAAAAGTCGCAAACACCGTGATGGTTGACTTTGATCAATTTTGATCACATGCCCGCGTCCGCTTCCTTCCACCCAACCTCCATGACTGTCCACAAACCAAGCAGATCCTGACATTCTGGTCTCACTCTTCTTAACCACAAGCTGCTCTCCTATGCGACCCGGTTCCTTCCTCTGCCGCTCGAGCGTGCATTGTCGGCTATCTTTTAACTGTACGCAGTACCTCCCTCTAATGATCACATAACAGCTTAGCGATCTTTCTTTCTCTCCAGTCAATTCCATTGAACGCTACAATGGGAGAAGAGGGAATGTTGCCGCAAGATTCGGGTGAAACATTGGTTGCTCTTCGACACACACCTGCTGAATCGCCCGAGTCGGAGAGGTGCACGAGAAGGTCAAAGAGCTGATTGAACCCAGCGTAGGCATCGTTCTGCGTCCTCGAAAAAGCTCACAGACCTTCACAGACCTAGTTGAATCCCACAATAAGCTTCGTCCAGACTAGGAGATAATCACCAAAGAGTGAGTACACCGACCTTTTGGTCAAAGAATCTGACCGCGAATCGTGCGTGTTCTCATTCTCTCATCTGTCTTAATTGCATTATAATAAATTAATATCTGAGCAAAACACCAACTCAGGTCAAGATAATTACACGGATTATTGAATATACAAAGGTGCTCGAAACACGTCCTTTGAAAGTTAAACACACGCCGGTCAAGGCTATTATGATCGATTTCGAGCGGTGCATCTGAGGCACCCCTGAAGATGATCCGGAACCAAACTTACCGTGCTCCCTGGACCGGGTAACCAATGCTTCGCCTTTGAAAAGTTCAATAGTGTTGGGAACATTACTTGACCCCTTTCGTACCGAAGCGTGTCCAGAATTAGCAGTCCAGCTTCCGTACTTTCATGTCGACCCTGTCAGATCAGACTCAGTCTCCTCGTGGTGCGTGATGCAACTCAGTCTCGTCACTCTTTGTTTCTTCCCTGCCATATTCTTCTACAATCTCTGCCATGGAAAACCGCGACAAGAACAACCAACCACCCAACGCCGACTACACCGGTGCTACTCGACCTGAGTTACTAGAGGTACGGCTCCCTTGTGATGCTCTCTTGCATTCCCTGAATCCCCGTTGTGCAGGCCTTGAAAGCGAGTCAAAAGGAAAATACCCATCTCCGAGCGGAAAACCACACGCTCCGCGAGGAAATCAGCACCCTTTCGGCCAGTTCTTCGAAGAAGCGCCGGGGCCAAACCGATGACAGGCTAGGCTACAAGAGCCAAGTCGTTAGCTGGTCCAAACGCTTCCTTTTCACTCGGGCCCTTTTTATCGATACCTCTATGTTTTCCACGAAACCATCCGAAACTGTGTCCGATCCGGCCACTATCTTCTCAACGGACGACCTGTACACGGAGTTTTTAACCGTTGCGCTCTACCAAGGGATTCCAGACAAGTTCCATGAACTTTTAGATTTCAACAAGTACAGCAATCTGGCCAAGGACGTGCGTGAACAGTTTTTTATATACATTGTGCAGATCTTAATAATACAATATTCAGTTCATTCGGGAGCACGGGGATGCTCGCTCCTCCCTCATCTTCACCCTTCGCAAGACCCTTCCCAATATTTTGAAGGGTCTCGATATCGACTTTGATCTGCTGACTACAGCAAGCGCTGATCGTCGAGATAATCCCGTTCTCTGGGGTCTTCTCAAATTTCCCACAGACACAAAACCGACACCCTATGCTCCTGTTTTATTCCCTGGTCCTACTCAAAACATGACCGAGCTGTTTTTGAGTCCAGCTGTTAAGAAGGTACGTAAAGACACGTCTCCTTTTCTTTCTGGAACCGAATGTCTTAATATAGGTTCATCGATTAATGTATTTCGGCCCCGGAAGTCTCGCTATAGGTGGTAAGCCTGCTGCCAATTCGAATGGCGTACGACTTGGTTTGAAGATGGTGACCGAATCATCGATATCTGCAGCAGCAATCCGCGTGCGCTATTCTACTTTGTTTCCCTTTAGACTCTTGACTCCATCTCCTAGCTCCGCTTTGTTGTTTCACCGGACAAGGAATGGGCCACAAAGGGCGCCATCTCTGGAATAGAGTGGGAACAGGACTATCGCGCCTACCAAAAATTGCTTTCTTCAAACGCCCACCTTCCGCACGTCAAAAACAATTCATGACTACGTTTTTGCGGGGCTCAAAATATCCTCGTCTGACGCCACCGGGGATGACGGTACAGAGGACGCCATTGTCGATGCGATGAGACGATTTGAGCTTGGTGATTCGGCAGCTCCCGATATAACCAACAGCATTGATGACACGCTGGGCCACGTGGATGCGGACAACTTGAATGCTGTTCCCGCACCTGCGCCCGCTGCGGCGGTTGAGGTGGACATTCCAAATGAGGCGGAGGTCGGGTGCGTGGCAGCCACGAGGCAGAGTGGGAGACGCGGTGGTGGGAGTCGGGAGGCTGCAACCGGCCAAGCAGCCTCTTCTGTTGCCCCACGCACCACAAGGTCTCGTCGATAGAGTCAAATAGATCCATACTACGGCTTGCAAAATCACTTGTGAGCGTATGAAGGCGCGAATTATTTTTTTTCTTTGATGGACACCGGGGCCCCGGCACCATATATTGAACACATTGCTTAGTATTGTAAAGGACTGCCTGGCGTAGTTGTTATGGTGCTTACGCTTAGAATTGATTTGATATCAAGTGGTCGCAGGTTCGATCCTTGCGAAGACGCCATTTGGTAATAACAAGTCAAGCCAATGACCTAGTTTAGTAACACTAGGTCAGTAAGTTTTTCGTTACTTTCAAATCCCTACATTTAAAATCTTGACCTGCTCTGATCAGCCCTTTCAAGACAGTCCTTTCCTTATAACGCCTTATTTGACGCACAAACCCTTATAATGACTCGAATCCTGAAAATCTTGGCCGTCTCTGATTAGATTGTCTCATCTTATCATGTACTAATAATCCGGCCGATGCATTATCGCCTGATAAGCCCTTATCTCTCCTTATCACGTTCGGCGGGTTTTTCCGACAGAGGACGTTCGAAACCAGCTGTACGCTGGAGGGGTGGAAGTCCCGGAGGATTATCGGGGCTTGAAGCGCCAGCTGACGGCTATCAGCGGCGTGATGGAGCAGAAGAAGCTCCGAGAGGCTCAACAGAGCCGGATGTTTTGGACCCCGGCGCGTGCACAAGCGCCGGCTGCCAAGTCATCACCGGGGTTCAGGCCGGCGCCCAACCTCACGAAGAAGATCGGGCCGGGGGAGACCGCCCCGATGGATGTGGACCGTGTGTGGCAGACACCACACATTTTTAAATGCTATAACTGTGGCAAGGAGGGCCACATGAAGTGGGAGTGCCCAGAGCCTCCCAAGTCCAAGTTCAATATCCGGTCGATCAAGACCGAGGACTATTCACAGGACGACCTGCAGGCTCTCGCAGCCGTCCTTCGCGAGAAGGGTTTTTAAAGGGGCCCCCGCTTGCAGCCAAAGTGGTGCCCCCTGTCACGAACAAATATGCACATCTCAAGGACATTAATATTAGCAACATAGTTACAGACCCGGCATATGATATTCATACCCCAGAAAATACTAGTCTACGAAAGAGCATAAACGATTTCCTAGTAGCTAGTGTAGAAAACAAACAAAAAATATGTGTCTTGGAGAATCAGAATCGGAAACATAATATTCGCAATTGGAAGATGGACGAAGTAAATAAGAGATGGAGTGCATTCAAAAAGGCCCCTGGAACCCAAACCAGTGCAAAAAATAGTGAGACGAAAAAGGACGGCGATGCCGTGAGGGCTCAATCCCAGGATCGGGAGGAAGCGCCCAAACAAAAGAAAACACGCGTGACGCTGAGTCAGAAGAAGACACAGGCGGCGCAGAAGTTGGCACAGCCTGAGGATCGGCTTGCCAAGGAGATGAAGGAAATCCAGAAGCAGAGGCGGCACCACGAGATGCTCGTTCCCGTTACGCTGACTGCGTTGGACACCGGGAAGACGCGCGCTGTCAAGGCTCTTCTCGATAACGGTTGCACTACCACGTGCATCAATCGAGATTATGCCAAAGCAGAAGGCTTCGAGCTCCATGGGCTTGACGTGCACATAGGCGCCTGCAACGCAGACGGAACAGAGAACTCTCGGGGAAAGATCACTCACTACGTTGAGTTGATGCTTTTGGTCGGACCCCAGGTTGAGCGCCAACGGTTCTTGGTCACAGGACTAGGCAAGGCTCGCATGTTCATTGGGTATGATTGGTTGTTCAAGCACAACCCCGAGGTGGACTGGCGATCACAAAAGATTGTGTTCAGCCGCTGCCTGCCCGAGTGCAACATGCACGGCATGGAGTACCGGACTGGATTGTCCGCTGATAAGCTGTGAAATTTGCGAAACCTCAAATTTTACGAATGCATGACATTCAGCGCTCATCCAGAGGTTGGCGTGAGCTCCAAACGTGCAACTCCGAGCCATATTGCATTATCATCTTAAAACTGGCAATAACAGCTTATTCCTGGAAACTTCACCTTTGGGACACTTGGGGGTTGAATCCGGATTAAGGCTTAAAGCCCATACATCAAAGTCCTGAAACACCCTCTATACGGGGGAAGGCAAAAGCAATGCTCACTATCAAAGGGAGAATCATATTATCCACCTCTGGCATTTATTGGCACGCTGGGAACCTTATTCGGGAGGGAAACACCTAGTTGTTTACACGACTTTGGCTTACCCGACGCGACGCGATGGGTCACCTGATCAAGGCCTGGACCTACAATTATTACTCCTATACACCGGATCCGCGACAGCGCGATCACCCGATAAGCCGCAGGCCAGATTAAGCTTGTACTGCGTGTTTCTGGATACCGATTAAGGGCATCTGGGGTATCATTGGAAAGGTATTAAACCATACAATCCAGTCAACGATACTAGAAGTTGAGGCATCTACCCCAGAGGAAGATATGGGTCAATTACCCTATTCAGGGGACTAATTACACATATAATCCCCTGATCGACGGGAGTCATTGGACGAACATATAGGAGAGCTCAAGTAGCGAATAGGAACGCTAGAACGCGCTCCGCAGATACCGATTTCAGGCTAATTAATTAAGTAGAATACCCGAAGCCTAGTAATCACGCACATGTAATAGTTTTTGTACAGTATATAAGGGGGGCAGAACTAGGGAGGACGGCACTGAACCAGACCCCAGAAAGTGAGGAGCAATACAGCCCTTGCGTACGGAGTTGAAGTTTAGGCTTGAATCTTTGGCTGTCAATTAGTCTCAGAATTTAAGTTCGGTTTTGGAATAGCATCAGTGGGATTTATAAGTGTCAGTTACGGGGCGTGAGCCATACCAAGTCCGAGGCGTGAGCCATTGTGTGTGTTTTGAGGCTTGAGCCATAGTTACGGGGCATGAGCCAAGCAAGTTTGAGGTGCGAGCCAAGTAAGTGGAATAAGGCGTGAGCCAAACAACCGGGTCTAAACAGCCCACCGGATTAATAGTCCACCAAAACAAACCGGTCTAGAGCTGTTATATCTGCATAGTTGGGAAACTTAAATCCACGTTGGGAACCAACCGATAAATTCAGGTTGTGTCTTGAACGCCACTTCAAGAAACTAGTTGAGACTTAGCCACCCTTGGGGGAACGGGAATTGAATACTTTCATAAGAAATATGTTTACTCGTGGTTTCCTTGGACCTATACTTGTGTCCAAAAAGACCCGAATCTCGTCAGTGTATCAAGGTCATTAAGGGAGTGTGGTGGTGTTGGAGTCTGTCTATTGTCGGTTTAGTCGCGCTTAATCTCACTTTGTGAGTTAGGTGTAACTCAGTCGTTCGATAGGGCAGTTGCAAATTTAGACCGTTGAACCTGAGCAACCCTTTCAGCGCACAGCAGGACCTTCCGTGGCAAGGAAATTTGTCCTTGTTCATCATGGAGTTTTTCGACGTTTTCGGTCCTCGAGATTTGATCGGAGAGGCTGTGGATCAGCTCCGACGCATCCGGATGAAACACTCCGACCGGATCACCCCTTTCCTCCAGGAATTCAACAAATTCGCTGCTGTTCTCGACTGGAGCGATTCTGCTCTCAGTCATGTTCTCTGCGCTTCCCTTCCTCTCCGGATCACCACGGAGTTGGACCAATATCCATATCCCAGTTCTCTCGACGGCTTCCAGCAAATCGTCCGCCATATCGATTACTGGTATTGGCAGCGGATCTGAAGTTTCTCAACTTCCGGGTGATTCTGAACCCTCCGGAGGAGATTCCGGCAGTTCCGGTTTTGGCACCATTTCACCGGCACCTTCCGTTCCTAGTTTCGTGTCTTACGCACCTTCAACTCCGCCGACTGCGGCTCCGGAACATTCCGGTCAAACTTCCGGAGCCTGTCAATCGAAGTTTCTGCCAGCAGTCGCTATGTTGCTTGGCAAACATGGGAAAATTCTTCCTGCGGAACGCAAACATTGGAAGCACCAGGGTCTTTGCATGTATTGCGGAGGCTCCGGACACAAGGTTGCCAAGTGTAGGAAGCATCCAATTCAGTCCGACGCAGTTCCCTCAGCCAAATCCACCAACTTGACCAACAAACGTGCCTGAATGACCAGCAGTCTCGCAAACTCAACCTCCGGATGTCCGCGTTGACTTCCCAAAGTCTTTCCAAGTTTTATCCTAACCACGCATCCATTCTTTTCCCACACTCACGACAGTCCCGCTCTTATGAGCTGGATCTATGATTTCACTATATCTAACAAATTGGAATTGCCCCGGGAATTAACTTCTGACTGGAGACTCGTATTCCTATTCGGATTGTATCTTCGTTTACTTATCTGTGAATTTACCAAGTTTTTCGGATTTCGGAAGCTCCAGATGTTCCTCCGAACCTCCGGATCTCGTCGGCAACTTCCTCCCATTAATCAGCATCAACGTCTGTCATACTCCCCATCTAATTCCCATTTGGTGAAATTCCAAGTCTGGAATTCTGTGTCATCGTTTCTGATTCCCCATCAATGTGGTCCTTGGATACCGGCAAACTCCACCGTATCAATCCGTTGATTGACTGGTCGGAAGTTTCCAACTGATCCGCTTCATATCCACATGGGGTTTTAGTGTGCACACTACCGGCAATTATGGCGGATACTGTTTCGGTTCCCAAATATGGGTAGAGCAATGCTGCACCGGAGTTCCGACACTCTCCGCTGCTCACACCGACAATTCTGACGCGTTCACCACGAGTCCTTCCAGACTCTCCGGCTTACATGCCACTGTTCCTTCGGGACATCATCAAGACATTCGTCTCTCCCTCCGGAAATTCTGGCCGTCACCAGGTTCCGGATGTCCCTCCGGTTAAACTCTGGTTTCGGACATCGTCCCGGATACTCTCCGGACGACTCCTCCGCTCATTCCGGCTGTTCCAACAACATCTGTTGAGCACTCCTCATACTGGTAACTTCGGAGCACTAATGCTTCCCGTAAACACTGGTCATACCGCGAAGCTACTCGCTTCACGGTCCTCCGGGTGTTCCGCCACTTGCCCAGCTATTGCTCCTGGATCGCTCATTTAAAGAGGCCTCATAACCTCATTCGCAACTTTACCTTTTACACGGTTTATCCTCGCCCTTTTATGTCATGACCTTGCAACCTCCAATTTTGGGGTTACGCCACATCCGAGACTGCGGAATCCGGATCATCTTCCACGGTCTTGTTCACAAAAAACTCTCCTTCTGCGCCGATTATCCTTCG